ACTGGTAACGTTTTAAGAGATATAGTCATTGGAACCAAAATTCCTAAAAATATACAACATACATATATGTTGAATGTTAGTATCTTCAGCCCCAGAGACTTGGCACACGTTTACAGGGGATTATAATCTTGTCATCCTCAATAACCGTATTCTTTACAGTACCTACTGAACTGTAAGTGCACTCCAAAGACTCAAAACAGAAAAAATTAACAACAGTATGATTTATAAAGGGCTTGCGATACATTTCTAGAAGTTTAAATACACAAGTTTGAACCTCTTAGCTATTGCTTTGAAATGTACTGATACATACTGTAATTGAGGATATTTAGTGATATTTCATATATTTGATGATATATGAAGATATGATGTTGATTCATAAATCATAGTTTTTAATAATGAGGTTACAAACATATCCATCTAGTGCATACATGTTACATACATGCATACATATGTCTGCGTGTGATATGTGCATACGTACGTGCATGGTGTGTGTTTGTGTGCTACAGACACATACATAATGTGGAATTTTGTTTCCAGTGTAATTGACCTCTGTTCCTTAAAGAATATGAACAGTTGCAGTGTTTAAAATACATGCTGCCTGAGAACTTGCTTGGTGTTTGTTTTGCCTTGACTTTGCCCTTGACATGGTTTCTGTGGCATGCTTCAGTTTCTGTGAACATGTTACATTTCTGTTCTTGTCTTTCTTTTCTGAATGCTAGAATATTGCTTGATTCTCAGAAGGCAGGTTTCTTTGAAATCCATGATAGCTGTTTGCTTTTCGTTTCTCTGCCCAAGAAACACAAACTAGAAACTGCGTTTTAGGCCAAGGACGCTCTAGCTGCCAACACGTTATTTCCTTAACTCCAAGGGGCAAATGTGAGCTGCAAAGCCTCGAGAAGTGTGTTGACTTTTACATGCTTACTGTCTCCTTCCGGACAAGTTCTGTGCTTTCACCTGTCTGTTTGCACGTGTCTCTCTCTCTCTCTTTGCCTTTCTTGTCCATGCACCTGGCGCTGTGCAGGAGACTCAAGAAGAGCACAAAGGCTGCCCTTCTGACGCCGAAGCTCATCAGGTGGCAAGTTCTACGTGTTCATCTGTCCGTAGAAGCCATTTCACCCTCAAGTTCCAGACAATAAGCAGCGCTTTCCAAATGCTTTCCCACTACACTAGTGTCCTCATGTCCAAGTTCGGTAGATTTCATCGTGACATTATTTGCAAAAATTGGTTTATCCAACGTTGTGTTCCCCCAGAAACCTGTTCATGTGTACTTTTTGGTTTCTTCTGCTAAGGCTGTTGGCCTTCAGGCCAGTGCCCAGGTGGTCCACACCCAGCACAGTGCCTGGTGTCTAGTAGGCATCTGTGGAATAAGTCCATTGATTTTTTTTTTAATTTCCCTGCTGGAAAAAGAATTACTAATCATATATTCCCAAGAGCCTACTCTTTGCTCAGTACTGCCTTTCAGAGTCTTAAGTAGGCCTTTTCCTAAAGCTTCTGCAGAAACTCAGAATGTGTCTCAGAGCACCAAGCAGGCCAGCCGTGTCCACTCCCCAGCCCTGTGCCCCTCTGGTGTCCCTAAAGTACCTTACGTTGGGTTGGCAGCCCACTGCTTTCGGCATGCAGCCAGTGTACAAATTACCTGCCTGGCAGCTTCAATCCAGGGAGAGGAGAACAGTGTTGATTGAGGGCTTCAAGTGGTAGCACTAGTGATGCGGAGAGGCCGAGGGACTTAGTGGACGGGAACAGTTGGGGAGACACTGACAGAGCTGGCAGGTCTTTGGCTGGGCCTTGAGGGTCATTAGAACATGGTTTGGACAAGACCATCAGAGAGGACCCCTCAGTTGGAAGCCCGTGAGACCCAATTTCATTGCCAAGAAGCCCCCACCCTGACTGTGCTGTACCCAGGTTGGATAAATCAAGGGTCAAATCATGTCCTGTGCAATGTCACAGTTGCAGTAAATGCTTCATGTAGCACAGTGTCAGTCCCACCCTAACAGCTTCATCAGGGGAGTCTGCTGCATTCACAGAATGAGCCTTCACGAACTGGCCGCCTTTCGAGCTCCTGTGCTGCTGTTTCCTCCACAAAGTGGACCTCTCATGGGGAAATGGGAAGCAGAGGCACTCCCTCTTTTTGGTTTGTTGCATTCCCATAGCTTTTCACCATCTAAAAGCATATCCTAGGGCACTTGATGAGGGAGGGGTTTGTCTCACCAGTGCATTCTTGTTCATGGACTTGTGCAGTGTAGTCAGCCAGCATGACATGGCTATTGGGAGAGCAGTGTGCCCTTCGGCTTCTGTCTGGGAGTGAAGCCACAGCGACCCCAGGCCTGCTCGGAGGCTTACACTGAGGCACTCCCACCTCCACATCCGGTTGATAACAACTTGCTGCTGCTGTTGTTATGTGCTGTCCAGTCGCTTCAGACTCATTCTCCATTTGTATTTACATACAAGTTACATTAGTGTTAAAAGAGATTTAAACATATATAATAGATGACAATACTTAATCACCAAAATGAACTTTAACTTAACAGTTGAAGAAACTGTACACTTTGATTAGCTTTCTCACTTCATAACCATGCTGTAAAATTAGGCACTAACTCAAGCAATAGATTAAGGAAAGCAGACTTTCAAATTATGACTTTAAGATTAATCTCTTAGTATTTCTAAAATCAGAAGTTCAAAAGTCTAAAATATTGTTTTCTACTTCATTGCGTAAGAAAAACCTTTTCTAGTTAGGTGTGAGAATCAGAATGAAGCCATTAACGGACTCCATGTTTTATCCCTTTCCCTAGGTGGGTGTAAGGACACCCCATTCTGTTCCTTTCCCGGGTGGGTATGAGGCCTCCCCCTCCTACCTCTTTCCTGGGTGGGTTGGAGTCCTCTCTCTCCTGCCCCTTTCCCAAGTGGGTAGGAGGACTCCTCCTTTCCCTTTCCTGGGTGGGTATGAGGCATCTACCACCTGCCCCTTTCCTGGGTGGGTGTGAGGACTCCCCCCCCCCCCCCGGCCCTTCCCTACTGTGTGTGATGGGCTGGGCCGGAGTCCTGATCTTTCTGTATAGGAGTAGCTGGTGGGTTCTGAAAACCGGCCTTTGACTTAACAGCTCAATGCTTGCTCCACTATGCCACCAGCTAAGGCCCTAAATGTTTTGGCTGAAAAGGCACCTAAAAGCCAATCTGAGTGAGATAAAACTCAAATTGAGTAAAGGGTTTGGAAGTGAAGATGAAAATATCTTCTCCACTCTGACCCATTACCTCATTTATCATTGCATTTGCCTTTCATACTTTGAGACCACAATGCACAGTGATGTTTAAATTGTCTTTTTAAGTCCCTTTAAGATAGATGCTGAAATAGTCTTAAAACTAAAAATAAATCAGGAATGTGATCATACATTTCATCCACAGAGAGTGGGATTATAAAAGACATCAGTTGTCAGGTTTTCATTAATCCCGTTTACAAGTTACTACCCCCCCCCCACCTTTGGAGGCTGCGCACTTCTGACCTAACCAAGCTGAAACGCAGTGCCTGTCCTATAGCGCCCTCTTGTGGACGCACTCTGCATTACCATCCGAAAGACGCCTGTCTCCCTGGCATTTCCCCAGATGATTTTTCAAAGACCAGTTTCTCTTTTTTTTTTCTCCCCTATTACCCCCACCCCAGTTTCTCCTCTTTTGAGGAAATAGCACTCTATGAAACACAGCTTGGGTATGGCTGAGATTTGCAGTCACCTTCTTCAGCGCACATGTCAGATGCCAAAGGGAAGGTGACCAGTTTCCTGGCAGAGCTCAGGTGTGGCAGCACCTTGGGAGAAACCCGGGTTCAGGATCTGACCCCCAGCTATGTAGTTCCTAACACCATTGTCCCAGCTACTGAGCTGTTCTTTTAGGGATCAGTGTGATAAGGGGTTGTGCTGTGCCATCAACTCGAGACATATGGTTCGAATCCCTCAGAACAGCTCAGAACTTCCTCAGAGGAAGATGGGGAATCTCCTCTCTTGTCATTCACTGCGTCTGAAAACCTGCTGGACGGTCATCTGGGGTCAGTTCCGACTCACCTCGTACACAACAGCCACCCAGTCTAGCTCACAACACTGCCACACAAGATCCCGGGCATTAGGAGGGCAGCGTGCAGCTCTCCAGGTCTCCTTGTCTCCCAGGTCTCCTTGGCTAGTGTCCCTGCAGCCAGGGACTCTCGGAAGCCATTGCTAGTGTCCTGGCTGAGCGCAGATTCAGCACAAGGTGAACTGATTTGAGAGGCCTGGTCAGCAAACCCCTCCCCAGGGACTGATTGGAAGCCATGACACCCCTCTTCCATACCCACTGTGGTACCCTTTGTCCACACACAGGCCCAGGCAACCTCGCTGCCTAGTGCAAGTCTGCAGAGCCTGGGCCTGGTCACTCAAGTTAGCTGTCACCCTGCCATCCTCTCTCTAGCTGATTACCCAGTAAGCAAGGTGAGCGCAGGCTGCTCTGGGCCTGCTGGCCAAGCCGCAGGGCACAGTTCCACTAGTTTCTGTGACGAAACCACTGTGGAATTGTTGACTGCAGGTTAGCAAGCAAACCTGCACTTACCTTGACACGCGCCCCCCCTTGACTGGGTAATCTGCCCCCACTATCTCCTTGGCTGGGTCTCGCTCCAGCCAGCTCAGAGCCTGCATCTAATGTTGATTGGATTTGTATTGTGTTCATCCTCAGAAGGTAACCTTTTTCTGGTAGTATTTCCAGACTCTAAACGCACCTTCCAGCTGTTTCTGTAGTGATTGCAGTCTCTGTCCTGTCCGCCATTTCTGTTTTAATGCTTTCTAACTGTGCGACTTCAGTATGTTGTAACAGTTTGCTAGACTGTGCAGCATGGTGTCCTGTGATGCAGAGCTTTGAAGTTGTCTTTGCAGGGGAGGGAAGAGGGCATGTATGTTGCATGCTTCTGTAGCCATATAGCAGGAGCACACACCACCAGATTGCCGACTGCAAGACAGGCTTACTCCTGTTATGTTTGCCTTTGCCAGGCTCTGAGGGATGGGAACAAGCTGGCGCAGATGGAAGAAGCTCCGCTTTTTCCAGGAGAATCCATCAAGGCCATTGGTAAGTTTAATGCGGACGCTGCTTACAGGGACCCACTAAATGAGATGGCCCACAGGGGACACGCAAGCTAGAGATTAGCCAGTCCGCTTTCCTCAGCGGGGATCATTCTCAGTGACCTCAGGACCCCGTGACCTAGAAGACTGTCTCAGGCCCCAGGTTATAAACCTCTGACTTACAGACAGCTCCTCTTCACCCTTTAAACCCCTTCTGTTATGGCCAACAAGCAAAACTGGAATAGACTTGAAGCTTACAATATGGCAGATTGACAAGGTGCTGCCTCCACTGTCATTGTGACTCCCTGAGCTTTGAGTGGGCTGCCACCATGTTTGAATGGGACAATGATGCTTCAGCCTGTGCTCGGAAGCCTCAGGCAGGGGGTGTATCCACTGCCCTTCTTCTGTAAGAGGATGGAAGTTTCTGGCAAGACTTCCACCTGTCATTCCTCACATTCTAGCCGTCTTTCCAGTTTACTGTAACTTTAAAAATTCCTGCCTGCTCCTTCCCTAGCCATGAATGGACCAGGCAGAACTGCTTAGAAGCCCCACTTTAACAACATCAGTAGCTATCAGGGCATGCTATCGCCTAGCCCTGGGGCACTCCCACTGGACACGTGGCGGCATCACCCACGGAGAAGGCACCTTCCTTGTCCCGATGAGATACTCATGGTAACGTTGGCTCCCAGACTTGCCAGAATCCGTGACTAGAAAGAAAATGTATACATAGGAAATCATTGTCATTATGGGCCAGCAAGTCAGGACCAATGCATAGCCGATCCTCCAGTGGGTTTTCAGAGATGCCATCTGCCGTACAGAGTAACTGCAAGATTGAACCAATGCCTTTGGGTTGGCAGCACAACTCGTTACCCATTAGGCCGTCAGCGTTCGGGAAAATCCCTATCAGATTTGAATAACAGTTTTGAGAACTTGACATAGAAATTGTAAATGCAAACAAAACCAAAAAGGACAAACTTTTAGCCCAAGATATGTTGCCACCCTTGATTCTCCAGGTGAGGGCGTGAGGGTCCCCACATCCGCCCATGGTGTATTCTCAGCATTCCAGCAGGGCCAGCGGGGTGAGGGGTTTTCATCTCCTCAGTTGCCAGGGTTCAGACTCTACCCCGATGACGTGTGCTCAGTCCCACAGTGCCTTTGGGTCAGCCACCCTGACCTCTGCCTCCGTGGGTCGTGGGACGTTCCCTTCTCCTCCCCTGCCCTGTTCTCCTGCTTCGTCATCCCCGCTGCAATGAGTTGATATTTTCTGGAGCTTTCACCCCACTTTGCCCACATTGCTATTACAGCCTTTGCCAGGTGATTTTCTTGGTAGTGTCTGGCCCAGACCGCAGCTGCTTGTGGACAAGAACTGTGTGTGAGTGACTGCATTATGCCCAGGGTCTAGCGATATAGAAGGCGCTCATCGCATTCTGAGTTAGGTGTATGGGGACTGGGCCAAATGACAGCTTTAGTACCTTTGATTGCCCACTGGGCCTAGAATGTCCACAGACGGGAAGGACTTGGGGGAGAGTGCAAAGATAGAGGATGCTAGTGATGGGTGGGACATTTCTGTGACTCAGAGGAATCACATATGTCGAGGTGCTCAGCTTTAGTGAGAAGGTTCCAGCATCTGCCATGTGCAAAATGAAGTCTGTAGGGTACATTTGTTTCGCTTGAGTTTGTTTTCAGCATCAGGACTTTATAAAAGGGTAACCCAGGAGCTCCTGAGTTTAATTAACGCCTTTTAAGTAATGATTTATTTCTCACTCGGGGAAAATATGAACCACCTGGGGAAAAAAGAATGAAATTTTACTCATTATGAGGCTTTGTACTTGAAACTTCCTTCACTTTGCAGCAAGCCAGAATTTTGTTTATTTGTAAAAATTTTCCATGTCTTTATTTAAAGTCGCAATTGACATAATTTCCTAGGATTTTAACTTCCTGGGAGGTAGGAATCAGCAGTATGTATTTTGAAACCCATTTACTGAAGCACAAGTCTACAACAAGAGCTGCTACTTTGGCCTTTTTTCCCTTCAGTTAAAGACGTCATGTACATCTGTCCATTCATGGGAGCAGTGGGCGGCACCCTGACAGTGACAGACTTCAAGATGTACTTCAAAAACGTAGAGCGGGTGAGTGTTAGAAGTGAGCTTTATTTAAAAAACAAAACCAAAACCCACGTCAGGACAGTATGAAAAAAAGAAAAGGATCCCTGAAGTTCCATCACTGAGAGGGAGGCCGAGGGTGAGTTTGAAGATGTACCACGGGGGATGAGGGAGGACGTGAAAGTCCCACTTGAACGGGGTGCGTGTTTTCATTGTAGCCTTGCTCTATCTTTCATAAAGCATGCCGACTCCAGCTGCTTAGCTGGGACCAAGGGAAATGGGAGCAGATAGGTTTTCTTACCCAACCAGAGCTTTATTTAATATGGAAACCGTATTGACTGACTGATAGGCATCTATCTCGATTTCGATACTTAGGATCCACATTTCGTCCTTGATGTGCCCCTTGGAGTCATCAGCCGAGTGGAAAAGATCGGAGCCCAGAGCCATGGCGACAACTCTTGTGGAATAGAGATTGTGTGCAAGGTACAGTGCGAACAACTGGAGGCGGAGAGGCAGTCCGCTCAGAACCTTCCTGGCCCAGCCTTTAGATGATAGCGTAATCTGGACTGGTAGAGGCTCAGATGTTTTCAGGACAGAGACCTCTTCCAGATCTTATCTCGACTCACTCAAGCCGTTCAGAATTTTGAAGGTCGGCCTTTTCTTTACCGTCATAGTATTTCCAACTATATAATGGATCTGTAATGTATATGTCTTGGAGAGGGTGCAGCCAGGGTGCTTCTTGTAGACAAAGATGGTGAAGCGTCATCTCTCATGCTTTGGACATAGAGCTAGGTGAGGCTATTCCTTGGAAGGGACATCATGCTTGGAAATGTAGAGGGTCAGTGAAGGAGAGGAAGACCCCGCCAGGATGGATTGACACAGTGACTGCAGCAGTGGGCTCAGTGTGTCAGGAATGTGAGGATGGCGCAGAACAGGGCAGGGTTCAGATCTGCTTTGAGGTCGACCCTCCATCTGCTTTCTGAGGCTGTAAATCTTACCAGCAGGAAATTGTCACCTTTCTCCCACGTCCCCCTGGAGATGTACCACCATGAAGTTAGTGCAACACACTGTGGGCTATGTCACCACGGCTTCTTGTTTTAAATAAAGGCACAGCAAGTCCACCTTGAATCCCCCACTGCTGTTGCTATCATTTGTGTGTTACTCTGTTTCAAATTCTATGCAAGAGCAAGGAAGAAGGAGGTTTCTGCATTTGACTAATGGAGGTATAGGACTAAAAAGTTGGGGCACGCTGCTCCGAACGTTGGCCTGGAAAGAAATCATGTCACTTGAGTGTGCCAACTGCATCCTTGCTTCAACTACTGGTTCCCCAGTGATAGTTTTCTCTTAATCCCAATTTCCTCATTTACATTTTTTATTTGTTGGAAGTATTGTATTAATTTCTTTCTGATGGTTGGAGCAAGAAAGAGTATAAAAGGAGAAATGAATAAATATCTGTATATAAACATATTTCTCATGGCATTTATTTTATGCCACATATCATAGACAGTCAATACATGTTGAATAAGTGAACTTTGCTACTTGTTTAACAGGATATGAGGAACTTGCGACTTGCTTATAAGCAGGATGAACAGAGTAAACTGGGGATATTTGAAAACCTCAACCGATATGCATTTCCTCTTTCCAATGGACAGGTAAATGCACCAAACCAACCTTTTGAGGTATGGATTTGGGAGGGTCCAAAAGCTTCTTGTCTCATGATTCCTTTTTCTAAAGATTTCTTGTTGGGAATTAATATTTAGAGTATTTGTCAGTTCTGTTTAATGGCCAAGAAAAACTGCCAATCATTACTTCAAATTTTACATATTAAAAAGAGATTCTTGTACAACCCCATGATTAATCCCCCCACTCCCGCACATCCTCTTCCCTCCAACATCTAAAATCCTACAATCTGCCACTGTATGCTCCATGAAGAAGACATTTAAAACCATCAGAGATTCTTCCCTCCCCCCAACTGGATGCTCATTCTCATTTCACAATAATGATTTCGTACAATTTGATGGGGAGGGGAGGGAAGTTGGAAGAATTTGGTCTGGAAAACAGTGTATTCAAAATCTGTAAATAAACTAGCATGATAAAAGGGATCTTGCTGCATCCAGCTAATAGCTGAATAATATTAAAATGGAATCTGTGATAAAGAGAAGAAATACTGACTTATGTATTTTGTCAATCTTTTTACCCAGGGACTATTTGCATTCAACTATAAAGAAAGATTTCCAGTTAATGGCTGGAAAGTTTATGATCCAGTATCTGAATATAAGAGACAGGTAAAGTGTGATGCAAAGAGTAGACTGCGCATCTTTTCTAAAAGTCGGGATGCAACAGAAAAAAAACGCTTTTTAAACCAAGCTGAACGTGGGCCTTTCTGTGATTGCTTTCACTTGCTGGCCAGCCCCTTCGCCCTGTCCGGCCCTTTGACTATGTCATCATTGGCCCATCCTTTTTAACCAAGGGGTGGTGGGATACAAGGCAGGGATCTAAGTCTACCAGATAGCTTGGGGTTTTTACAAGATGTTCTGGTAAAGAGTTGATGAGTCAGATTGAAACCAGTGACTTCAGATCAGTGTTAAGCCACAGCGTGACTAGATCAGTCTGGCAGTGGTCCTAATTAGTGGTCCTAATGTCAGGGGCCTATTTAGTATGTGGTCAGCTCCATGTTTTCCAATAAGGTATTCTTTTCATGATATCTCACCTTTTTCTCTACCTTCTATTTGGTGTAATGCTTTATATTACTTACTTGATGCATTGGTAAGACATTTCTATTTTTTCTAAAGAACCTTCCCATGTATTTTCCTTTTTATCCTGAAAGCCACATGATGCTCATTTTCTGCTCACATATTGAAAGCAAAACACAGGATCAACTTTTCGGGTCTAATTGTCATCTTGTAGTCTGTTTTGGAAATCGTTATGCTTTATTAGATTTTTAGAAATTACTAGGAAAATGGATTATACTAGGTAAATAGATACTTTTAAGTAACGAAGCAGCAAATTATAAGTGGATTTTAGTTGAAAATCAGAACCAGGTGTGAATCCTTTCAGTCCTTTTCAACAGTCTCAATGTGCTTCCTTTCCTCCCTTTCTGTTCATACAGGGTTTGCCCAATGAGAGCTGGAAGATCTCCAAAATAAACAGTAACTATGAGCTCTGTGACACCTACCCTGCCATCATCGTTGTGCCTACCAGCGTGAAAGATGACGACCTGGCAAAGGTGGCAGCCTTCCGTGCAAAAGGCAGAGTCCCTGTAAGTAACAGACGTTGCCACCTCGGTACCAGCAGCCCTGGGTTGGATTCAACTTGAAAAGATGCAAGACAGACTCTAGTGAACCAAATGGGAAGTAGGCACATCAGCTCTGAAATAGGAAAAGGGCTTTGAGGCTCGAGAACTGCCTACTGACCTCAACATTCTGCTTGCCACGGCTTCTTTTGTATTAATTCATATTACCAAGTACAGGGCTAACTGCAAGCTCTTGTGTCTAGCTAAAAAGCCCATCCTTAGAATGTAGTAGAGAGTGCAGCCATCTTATTAACAGTCCACAGCCCTGGTTTCAACAGGTGAGCCTGGAGAACGTACACTCTCTTAGGTGCTGAACGGAATGTCATTGCTGCATAGGAAGGAGACAGTTCTACATGGAAAGAGGATGGTCCATCGGAGTGAATGTTACTGAACATCGTAACCACTGGGCCACTGGAGGAAAAGGAGAGGTTTTGGGGCCCCAGGCAGTTGTCCTCACTCTGCCATCCGTGCAGCATTATGAATTCAGAGTTGAGGGGGAAGGGAGCTAAATGTGAAGAGAATCTAAAACTAGTTAGTGAAATAGAAAAAGGCTGGATTTCAGGAATAGTTTGACTTGGTTTGTTTTACGTAGTGTCGTCATGTTTCCAAGACGGAAGGGGATTTTGTAGAACCCAAAATGTCTAGCTCTACTCATTACAGCTTGGTGATTATCTCAGCCCTCTCCCCTTTGGGGCTTCGTGCAGGGGAGGCTGGGTTTGAGCAGGGAACTGGTTTCTACTACCTAATCATTAGGGCACAGACAGTTTTGAGAACCATACTAATATTTGTTGTGTCAAAACACTAGGTGTTATCCTGGATTCATCCAGAGAGTCAGGCAACGATTACGCGCTGCAGCCAGCCACTTGTGGGTCCCAATGACAAGCGCTGCAAAGAAGATGAGAAATACCTGCAGACAATAATGGATGCTAACGCGCAGGCGCACAAGCTCGTCATCTTCGACGCCAGGCAGAACAGTGTTGCCGATACCAACAAGGTGCGTGGTGGACAGCATTGCGCAGACAGCACATGCTTTGTGGTGTGTGTGAGCTCAGTAAATTATTAGACCTTTCTCAGTAATCCACAGCTGACACTCTGTCTGTTTTAACTAGGCAAATAGATTTTTTAAAATTTTTATTCCATTGTAGGCAAATAGATTTAAAGGTTATTTGTTGTCTGGAAACTTAGTAAAGGACAAACAGTAATCAGGAAATGGAGTTCCAACATTAAAGTAGCATGAATAGGACAGAGAAAGACACCAGGCACCTGAAGGCCTTGAGGTAGAAGGAGAAAGGGAACGAGAAGGGGATCCTACCCTTCACCTGGCAGGAGGCGTGTGGTGGGAACTTCTGTTGGGGTGAAGGAAGGCCTGGAGAGAAGGTGGTGGTATTAGGACACTCTCAAGTCTCCAAGACTAAGCTGGTGGCAGTGGCCCCAGGGCCAGAATTCTTAGTGCCAGCCACCCAAAGATGGCCCACATGTCCCTGATGCCAGACGAGGTTACTGGGCACTTAGGGCTGGCGAGAGTAGTGACCCACAAGTGAGGCCTGGAAGCCTGGGCTCACAGAGCCTCATAGGAGGAGATGAAATCCACTGTTTTCACCATTTTGGAGTGTATGGCTCAGGTCCTGCATCCAATACATTTATAATATACTACCATCACACCACCTATTTCAAAAACTACTCCATCACTCCCGACAGAAACTCAGTCTCCCCTAAGCTGTAACTCCTCCCCTTCCCTCTGGTAATAAACTTTGGCTCTTCTGCATTTCCTCTTCCAGACAGCTCATTCACGTAGGTGGGCTCCTGGGCCATTTGTCCTTTCGTGTCTGCCTTCTCACACTCGACATAATGTTCTCAAGGGTCGCTCACATAGCGCGTAGCAGGACTTCCTTTCTGCTAAATGTGTTGTCTGATACATGCACCCACTCTTTCCACCTTTTGCCTCTGATGACGAGTGCTTCGCTGGACACGGACCTCTAAGTCCCTGTGTCCCTGTGGTCGTTGCCCTGGGGGACGGACCTGGAATTGGAATTGCTGGGTCACATGCTGCCCTCTGGTTACCTTTTTGGGCAGCTGTCATGCAGTCCCACAGCAGCTGCCCCCGCTTGCAGTCCACTAGCGATGCCTGAAAGTCCTAGGCTCTCCACTTCCACCTTGTAGACCTCTTCTGACTGTTGGCCTCCAGAACACAGGCCCGAGTCGGTGATAAGTCCCCACAGCTCCCTTTCTTGTTACATTTGCATTTTACTTTGCTTCAGTTAGGAACGCGTCAGTTATACAATTACAAATTATATGCAAAAATACAAATTACATCATTTGGTAATACAGCTTTTTCTTTTCAGGTAGATGGCACTCGCTAACCGAAATAACCTTTTGAAACGTACTTCCCTTTGCATAGCGCTAGCTGTCAGTGTTTTAGCTCTCACGGTGGGTGGGTTTGGAACACTTCACTGCCACACTGGAAGGAAGGACAGTGCCGTCTCTGTCTTTGGTGGTCAACAGGCGAAGGGCGGAGGGTACGAAAGTGAAAGTGCTTACCCGAATGCTGAGCTCGTGTTCCTGGAAATCCACAACATTCATGTGATGCGCGAGTCCCTCCGGAAGCTGAAGGAGATCGTGTACCCGACCATCGACGAGACCCGCTGGCTGTCCAATGTGGACGGGACCCACTGGCTCGAGTACATAAGGGTAAGCAGTCTGATCTTCCTCTGCACCACCGGAGACAGCCAAGCGATCTCTCAGGTCAGCAGGGTACCCATTAGTCCCTGGGGCATTTTGTGAGCTAGGAGAATCCTTCCGATCACCTTTGCAAAGAATTGAGTGGCCCCTTCAAGCAGGACCAGACCCCTGAGTTCATTTATGGTCCACTCTTAATTTTATGCTTCATCGGCCTGAGCTCCCAAAGTTCTACCCACAATTATTTCCTGTAGTAATAGAAAAAACTAAGTGTATATCATGGCGTCTTTCCTCAAGACACTTCTTGCTGGAGCTATGAGAATTGCTGATAAAATTGAATCTGGGAAAACTTCAGTGGTGGTGCACTGCAGTGACGGATGGGACCGCACGGCCCAGCTCACATCCCTGGCCATGCTGATGTTGGACAGCTATTACCGGACCATTAAAGGCTTTGAAACTCTCATAGAAAAGGAGTGGATAAGCTTTGGCCATAGGTTTGCTATGGTAAGTAGTTGCAACAGTGGCATTTGTGTCCCATTGTGTGTGTGTGTGTGTGTGTGTGTGTGTGTGTGGCAACAGTGGCATTTGTGTCCCATTGTGTGTGTGTGTGTGAAGGAGAGAGAGAGGCAGGTGCTTCCTGCTTTTATCAGACCCACATTGTGACCATACAGCACCTGGGCCTGAGCATGAGACATTGTTTTTTTTACAGTGTGGTTCGCATTTCATTTCCAGCAAGTTGAAACAAACTCGTAGGTGACGCCCTAGTGGGTTTTCAGAGGCTAAAAATCACACAGGAGATTTCCCATCTTTCTCTGCAGAGCAGCTAATGGACTTGAAGCACCTGCATTTGGGTTGGCAGCACAACTCCTTGCCCACTAGGCCACCTGCACTCCCTTGGGGTTGTTACTATGTTTTTTAAAAGAAAAAAAAAATGAGAATAATCTAGAATAAACAGTTTCCAAGAGAACAATGCAGAGGCACTTAGTATGTTCACAACATTGTGCAGCAATTGCCATATAGTTCCAACATCTTGACGACCCAGTACGGAGACCCCCTGCCCACCACGTCACTCCTCAGCCCCTTTCTCCTAGGTCTCGGCTACCACCAACCGGCTTCCTGCCTTAATGGATTTGTCTGTTCTAGATATTTCATACAAATTCATCATGTAACATGAGATCTTTTATGTCTGCTGTTATTCAGTTAACATAGTAGTTTCAAGGATCACCCACAATTCAGCCTATATCAGAACTTGAGGGATTAGGAGTTAAATCTAAATGAGGGAACATTTTTAACATTAAATCCTCTATTCTCCCCCCTATCCACACACCCATCATCACCACTGTCTTCTTCATCATCCCCACTCCCAGAGCTGTTTGCACCTGGCCATCTGTGCCCCAAAATGCTGGCGTCAGCGGGTCCTGCCCACCCTCTTCCCTTTCCGCTCATGCTCCTCCACAGACCTCCTGTCCCTGTCCTCCGTGACACCCGAGGTACTGGCTCTCAGCGAGGTCTCCATCTGCAGGGCCGTGCACTGTGGGAGTCACAGCCTGCCTCGCCCCAGCAGGTCCCCAAGGAGGCTGGCCCTCCTCCTGCACCACGCCCTCTCCTCTGCTTCTCTCTCCAGTTAAGAGGCACCTGCTCAACTCTGCCAGCTTCTTGGAGAGCCAGCCTCGCCCCTTCCCCACAATCTTCCCTAACTGCTCCTCCTCAGAGTGCAGCGGTTCTAGAACCTGGTGCTCTCCCAGCCACATGAGTCGTTGACCCCGCAGTCAGCCTGCCATGGAGCAGTCAGCCCGTGAACAGTGCGGGGCCTGGGGAGATGACAGGAGCTTCCTCACCTCCAGGCTGACAGGGGCAGTCAGAGCAGGCTTCCCAGAGGAGGTGCTCTTTGTTGTTGTTGTTTTTTAATTTTTATTATTTTTGTGTGAGTGTACCATCAAATCAGATCTGACTGGTACAGGAGGAGATTGTCCCTCCTTCCCCGGCAGAGCATCTGGTGGATTCGAACCGTGCGCCTCTGGGATTGTAGTTGCAGCTCCTTGCCACTAGGCCACCAGAGCTCCCCAGGAGGTGCTCTTTGGGTTGGTTGGTAAAGTAGCATTGTAGAATGGAGCCTCCAGCCGCTGGCCCTGAGAAGGTAGAGGGTAGTGACTAGCAAATGTGTGGACACAGAGCTGTGGGGAGAGGAAGTGATGCTGGGGTGACTGCTTTGAGGTTTGGACAGAGGAGGCTTTTTATTTTAATACATTTTTTGTTTTAATGAAAGTTTACAGCAAAGTTATTTTCATTCATTCATTGTTGCATATTTTTACACCCTAACCCTCCCTTCCCCTCTCCTAGTTCACTTTTTAAAAAAATATTCTTTCATTGTACAATTACTTCTCTCCCCCTAGTCCTCTTTGCAAGATACCTCTTATTCTGGGCTGTTGTCGTACATATAATGCCTAATCATAGATTCCTTTTAAATAGTTCTTTCCTTCATCTGTCCCAGTGGGATTTCTTTTCTTTCTAAGACCAAGGAAGAAAAGCTCACCAGGGTGTATGTGTGCGAGAGCTCTGAGACTAGTGCTCACCTGGACTGGAGGGCCCTCAGAGCACTCTGCCGCCTTCTCTGAGCCATAGGGACGATTCGGAGTGCAGGGCATGGGACCTGCTGCCCTGGAAGCCCAGGGGCCTAGTCAGCGCACACTGCAAGGGATGCAGTACACCTCAGATGGAAGAATCAGTGATGCCCTAGTTGTGAACTGTGTGAAACTGTGTGCGCCTCAGCTACGTAGGAGGGTATCCGTGAGAGAGAAACGAGGCACCACTCCTCTGAGGTGACGTTGCCACCTCATTCCTCATAGATCTGCAGTTCCCATCCTTCCTGTGGGAGCTGTGGTTTCTCTTTCTCATCTTTTTCTCCCTTTTAACTTGTAACACAGGGTTTCAGTCCTGTTTATGGGATTTTTGCCTTGCTGTATGGAATGGGCCCACCACCCTGGGCTCCTGGAGCAGAGTCTCCTGTGGCCATGGCCGCCGCCTCTGGGAGGATTTGTTCAGACAGGGCAACTGTCATCATCACTTACATCGCAGACTTCCTGTTAGTTCCAGAAGAACGGGGTGGGGGAGACTGTTTTTACACTTTGGAGAAAACGTTAGCATTTCAGCATTCCCGATGTCCGGTCCGAGCTGGGCCAGTGCTGACCGTAACCCTGTGGTACTGCTGACACCCATCATGTGCGTGAGCCAGTTACTTCAAACCTGTCGAGATCCTCTGTGTCGAAGAGAAGTTAGGGAGGGCGTGTGAAAACACTGGACACTGGAACTGCTTCAGAAAAGTAATGCGAGTTGATTTAAAGACATCAAAGTCACTGTGGAAAATCTGTAACTAGACCTCTGGGAGCTCTGGTGGCCCTGGGCTAATGTAACCCGCCAGCTGCTCCACTGGAGAAAGATGGGCAGTCACATGATTTACTGCCTCTGAAAACCTGCTGCAGGTGAGCGCTGGGTCGGTTCTCTGGCGGCACGCCACAGACATTTGCCATTTGAACCATTTGATGTGTGTACTTAGCAGCGTCAACTGATGTCACCACCATCCACTTAGCTCTGAGCGTTGATCGCGTGTCAGGCGCATGAAAGCTACTTCCTGGCCCTGGGCAATTTCAGGTGCCACTGGAGGGCAGTCACCAGGGGCGCTATGCCACTTTCTGTTTCTTTTCAGCGTTTGGGCCATGGTGACGACAACCACGCCGACGCGGACAGGTCGCCCATATTTCTCCAGTTTATTGACTGTGTGTGGCAGATGACGAGACAGGTAAGAGCACCCCAACACATTTCTGGCTTGATGGCCTTCGGACATATTTGGTCTCAAAATGGACAATCAAATTACTTTCCACTGCCCCTTTGTAAGCGAAGCCCTGGGTCCTGTGGAAGTTGCTTCCTCTGGGCTCTAGTCACTTGCAAATATAAGCAGAAAATTAGTAGGCGCCAGCAGTGCCTCTTTCTTCTGCCTGAGGCTGCCTTCTCCCTGGGCAGACCGTACCAGGCCCCGGCCAGTGGCTCCTTCGTCCCCTCGGTCTCCTCGTGAGACGGGCCCTGCTGTGAGCAAGCAGGGGTCCCCCTGAGCGCCTGCCACAGACAGATGCTCAGCACACAAAACCCAAGGCCAGGGCGAGGGCCACTTCCCACTCCTGGGACCCAGCAGGCCGGAGGCTTTGGAGGCTGCCATCGCTCCAAAAGCAGCCAGCCATGCCTGCCAGCCGTGCGGCGGCTCACTCGCTGCAGTCCGGACTCGGCTCCTCCAGCTGGTTTCCCAGCCTGCCTTGCTCTCATGGAGCTGCTGGGGGATTCGATCTGCTGGAGGCACAGTCTGTGGGTTGGCAGTGCAACTCTCTCTGGATGATGGTACCAGAGATCCCCTGAGTTCTAACCAGCACCTTGTGTGGCGCAGGGCTGGTAGGCCAGTGCACAGGGCCTGGGCACCCACAGACTCGTCCCTCTTCCCAGAGCTAGTCCCAGGGGGCCTGCACTCACTTAGCCCCGGTCTCCAGCACCCAGTCCTGAGTTTGGGGTCTTACTTCACAGCAGGAGAAACAGATCCCCAGCCAGAAAGAGCAGCTGCCAGGAGGAGGGCTTGGTGTTCAGCGCCGCCTGGCTGAGGGCAGCCGCCAGGAGGAGCGGGTCACAGCCTCTCTGGTCACCAGCAGCTCTGGCTTCTGCTGCCTCAGCTCCAGGCTCGCTGCTCCTGGTGGCCTGCACCTCGCCAGTGTCCTGGGTCAGCCTGCCCGCAAGGGAGTGCATGCTACAGTCCCTTCACTGGAACCCCAGAACCACCGGGGTGCGTGCACCCCTGAAAGACCCCTTCTGCTGGTGCCATGCTTTGCAGATGACTGAAGACCAGGAGTCTAGCCCAGAGCTCCTGGGTGTGGGCCCCGAGCTGGCAGCCCCTCAGCAGCCATAGTGCTTTCACAACTAAACCCTTTCCCCTCTCTCTCGATCCAAGTTTTCTTCAGCGTTCGAGTTCAATGAGCTCTTCCTGATAACAGTCTTGGACCACCTTTATAGCTGCCTCTTTGGGACTTTTTTGTGCAACTGTGAGCAGGAGCGATTCAAGGAGGTGAGTTTGATCCTTGCGGATAGTGTTGCCTCTTCCCTGAGTGACCTCGGAGACCCAGGACAGAGCTGTGCAGGCCTGGCATGGAAGACTGTCCTCTTAGAGACTATGGCAAGTCAGCCCTCACTTAGTGGGCGCAGGGGTGACCGGGGACTGGCCGGGCGCCCTGTTGGGCGTCAGGTGACTAAATGCGAGCTTCCCTTCTGGACTCGGTTCTGTCCCAGTGACCTGTGTCTGTCCTCAGGCCGGTCTGCACTGCCTGGACCACTAGTGCTTTGTAGCAGACTTTGAAATCGGGGAGCATGAGCCCTCCACTCTGTTCTTTTCCATGACTGGTTATGCTGGGTCCACTGAAGTGTTGCTGGGTTTTGTTCTTAGAAATACTGTTCTCATCTGTACACCGTAACATGGACACTGTACACTTAGTGCCCACTGACCTCTGGGTATACAGCTGTGGCTACCTGTCACCGCGGCATGGCGTCCCTCTGATGGCCACGGTTTCCAGTGAAAGACCACTGCAATCAGGAGGCAGCATTCCCTTGGTTGAGGATGGGCCTGTGGCTGTCCGGGTGGTGTCACAGCTGCTGTCGTGCCGGCCCGATGCTCCCAGACCTCAGCAGCGTTTCCAGAACCGTGGCTGCACGGTTGTCCGCTGCCCGTGCCGGCCGTGGTGCCCGGGTGGAGTCCCATGCTCTTCATGACTCGAGTCCTCCTCTCTGCTAAATGCTAATTCCCGACAACTTAAAGGAGAGTCGAATTGACGTGTCCCGTTTCCTCTCTCAGGATTTGTGTACGAAGACTATCTCTCTGTGGTCTTACATCAACAGCCAGCTAGATGAGTTTTCCAACCCTTTCTTTGTCAACTATGAAAACCACGTGCTGTACCCGGTCGCTAGCCTGAGTCATCTGGAGCTGTGGGTGAACTACTACGTCCGCTGGAACCCACGGATGAGACCTCAGGTACCCTTGTTCACAAAGGGCATTGTGATGGCATGTATGTGGTCCCCACCGGCCCTGACTTTATCTTTTCCCTTTCTTACTGTGATTTTAACAGAAGTTTCCAGAAAAGTTGGATTTTCATTCATTCATTATTGCCCATTTTCCTCCCTACCCCCTGCCATGACTTTTGAGGGCTCCGTCCTCCGTATCTGGATCCTGCAGGTGCCTCTCACATGTCACATGCCGGCGCACTGGCTCTGTCTGCCATCATGGGTTCAGACAGAGAGCGTCTTGGGCGACCACGTTAGCTTCTGTCCTGCCAGTGACTGTGGCTGGAGGTGTCGTGGGAGAGCACGGGGTGTCACACCTGACAGGCATTTGAGAATTGCATGGCACTTCGATGGCACCCAGAGCAAGGGTGTGTGCTGAGTCGGCAGGGGCACCCCCTGAAGAAGAGAAAGCTCCTCTCCCCAGCATATGCTTTCTCTGCGCTGGCAGGGAACTAGAGACCTCACCAGCCCCAGAAGCGCTTCCATCTGGGTCCCACATTGTGAGCCTTTTGTCTGCATTTCTTTCCAGTCCTCGTGCCGTTAGAGGTCACACTAAGCTGGGGTAAGGCCCTGGCTTGACTGCTGTCCTCAGCCTGCAGAGCGCCATCAGCATCCTCGTGGCAGCTTCTCCCGCGAGGAGGCCCAGGTCCTGGAGCCGCCCTGCTTCCTGCCCCCCAGCCAGCATTTCCCTGCCACCAGCTTCCTCCTCACTGTTCTTTGTTTCTGTGCCTTTTGGCTCCTGGCTGAGCAGTTCTTTCTTGGATGGAAGAAGGCTTCAGTTTATCCCTTTTTGCAACTGCACACTGTCATCCCCAACCTTATTCACATCTTGGAGGGAAAACCCCAACCCTCCACTAGCGAGTGGATTCCCGCTCAGTGAGCCTCCATCTGGCTGCTGAGATTGCCTGTTTCTTTCATGGGGTTCTGCTCCCCAGCCCCCACGTCCCCTGAGGCTCCTGCCTGGCAGAGAGGCCCACTGTCCCCTCTGTCAAAAGACGGGACAGTGAACGCACACATTTTTCAATGATCATGTTAACCCTCTTGATGTCTAGCTAAATGTTGAAATTTAAGGAATTCAGTCTTAAGGAAGTGGATGCTTCAGAAAGGTGCGAGCTGGCCATTCCACTCAGAGAATCTGCGCAGCGGATGATGGCGGAGCACAGGGTGGGTCCTCTGTGGCCGCTCGGCTCCACTTTCCTCGGAAGCTCAGTGCTGACTAGAGGAAGTCGGACCAGAAAGGGCAGGTTACACGGCCCCGCTTCCGTGGAAAGACGCGGACAGGCAAGGGGATAGGACCACGCGCAATGGGTGGTTTCCTGGGGACATCGGGCAGGGCAGACAAAAACTGGCACAAAAGGATATGGCGGGGGGACTGAAAATGCTATGGCCTTACAAAGTGGTGATGGTTGCCCAACCGTTGAGAACAGCCTGAAAACCAGTTAAGATGCCAGCTTTTGTTCGAGTCAGCCAGCCTGGTGCAAGCCGGCCGTGTCTTGACCCCCCCAGATGCCGATTCACCAGAACCTCAAGGAGCTGCTGGCGGTCCGGACAGAGCTGCAGAAGAGGGTGGAGGACCTGCAGCGCGAGGTGGCCATGCGCTCCATCTCATCCTCGTCCGAGCGAGGCTCCTCGCCGTCCCACGCCACCACCCCGGTGCATACCTCCGTCTGACGGGTGGCGACAGTGCGGGCACTGCTGGCTGGTCCCTGGGGTCCCCTGGCTGCCCTTCCCACTGCAGCTTCTAGTGGATCTTTCCGGATCAGACCTGGTGGCCATGGCCACCTATCTGGATGGTCCTTCTGACCGCAGGCCATCTCTGCGGTGCAGTGGCAGCTCCACCTGAGCCCGTTTCTGCCTGTCCCTGTCATCAGCTGTGTCACAGGCGACGACATTCGACCTTCAGGTAGCTTTGGCCCAACTAGTGAATTAGTGCAATACTTAGGTTTAAAGCAGTTGAACAGGAATTCACCATGATACCCCATCTGAAACCAACCCTGACCACTTGCCATGTTGCCCAGCCATCTGGCTTCTCAGTTCTTTGCTACAACTTGAAAACATTTTTTAAATTAATTATTTGCTGGAGGACACAGAGATTGCCACCTCTCTCCCACAGTCACCTCCACGCCAAGGGTCGTCCTGTCCCAAGTACTGCTGTGTACATAGAAGGTATTTTTCAAAGAGAACATGCCTTTATTTTCCTATGCCCATTTTTATGTTTAGAGTAGTCACTCGAAGGGGCTGTACCATGTGAGCAAGTCTTACAAACCCCTCACACACCAGGTGTGTTTAAAGGGAGTCGGCCTGCCCTCTCCCCAGCACTTCCCCCACCTCCCTGGCAGGAATGAGGCATACCCCAATCCTCCCCTGGGAACTGGGGGCGCAGCATGCCCGGCCGAGCCGCTGGACGCCAGCCCTTCCCACCACCAGAGCCCCCTGACCGTGAACCACTGCGGGCCACACTGCAAAGCGACTACTGTGCTGTGGCCTCTTGTCACCAGAATCTGCCCTCGGCTTCTCTGCTTAGACGATGTCACTGGGCTGGGGTTGCAGTTGGTGGTAGTGACCTCTGTGCTGCCAGTCACCCCCCACCCCCAGCCCGGCACTGGGCGTCAGGCTCACACTCCAGGCCAGTCGCTTTGGCTGACTGGGTGCCAGGCAGAGGCCTTCCGAGTGTCCTCATGATTGAGAACATGCTCTTCAAAAGAAGTTGTTCTTACAAATACTTGAAACTTTCAAACTCTTAGAGAAAAGAATCCTTCAGTAAGATGCCGGAAGTATGTGCCCACGGCCGTCTGGCGTCTTCAGTCAACGATCAGTTTTGTCACCCGGCAATTTGGTTCTCGGTTGTGGTTTAACTAAGGGAGCTCTTGTCTTCATTGATAGATGTTCCCACAGGCACACTGCCCACCTGCTGCCCAGGACTAGCGTTTGACCTGGATGCCCTGGGGCTGGCAAATGCCAAGCAGGCTCACATGGTGAGTTTCTGAGCAGCCCCTGCCCCACTCTCCGTGCATGGAGCCCTAGAAACTTGCATTCTATTTCAGAGAAGCACAATAGATCCTTTTCCTTTGTATGTTCCTAGAACAGACCTGAGTTTCTAAAACCACTTGAAGAATAGTTTTGTTACCTAAGTGACTCCTTTTTCTGTCATATTTAAGTGCACTAGAATGTAAACTTTTGCAGTTGAGGTTTTTTAAACTGGTACCGTATTGTATTTGCCTCATCTGCTGCACTGCTGCATCTTTAATTAAAATCCCAGTCCGTTTGCTCCCGGGTCTGTGGTGCTTGCCTTGCCTGCCTGGGCATTTGGGGGCGTAAAATGAGAAGAGAGTGTGTCTGTGTGTGCAAAGTGCCTTCGTGGTCTGATTCTTCCTACGCTGTCCAGGTGACCAATAGTAGTCTGGGGACGAGCACCGACCATCACTGCGAGAAAACACTGAGGTTTGGGTGGGACAGAGGGGTGGGGGAGACACCCAAGTGTCCAGGCCCACGTGGGTTCCCCAGGACAAGAGGGTGAATGAAGGCAGTGCCCCCTGTGCGGCTAACCCTGCCAAGTGAGCCAGTGTTAGGTGAGGTGACCCTGGGTGGGGACCGCTTGCCAAGCAGCTGTCATCCCCAGCACTGTGACACAACACCAGGGCCTCGTGACATGTGACAAGCCTGGTCTGGGCCAGAACTGTGGACAGTGGCATGCTCGGTGATCGCCCCAACCTCACAAGGCACACTCTCCCTGCCGTGATGAGCCCCGGTGGCTGAGACAGTCCCAGGGCCCAGCACCTGCACTGGCGGCTGGCTGCCTGTTATAGCCAAGCGGCAGCTCTGAGAGTGGTCCGCCCACAGTCCCTCCTGCTGGCACTGCCGTCGATTCACTGACAGAGGTGCCCAGCACCGCCAGATGCGGTGACCCACTGGGCTTCGTTTGTTTCAGTGCAAACACTGGACTGGTCACAGTTCTCTTGGACACCACAGAGGCTTCCGGAGGTGCGATCCCCCCCAGGCCGGCTGCAAACTCCTGTCGGGGTGGCTGCCGTGTCGGGGGCACAGGCCCTGGCTCGACCCTAAGCTGCGTGATGTGAGCTGGGTTCTCAGCTGGCCCCTGTAAGCACACTCAGCTTTCTCTCCCCTAACTCCAAGCTGGTCCATGCAGCTTTCAGGTGGACGCAGAGTTGCAAGATGACGCTGAAGAGCCTACTGCCTGAGCGTCAGGGTCTGTGGGGGCCAGGCCCCGCTTCACAGAAGGGCCAAGGTCGCTTGGAGCAAGACGGCTGTGAGGTCAGGTCTGTGTCACTGAGAGGCGTCACATGGAGCAGAGTGAGCGCTGGGCTCTCACGTCACAGCAGCCCTGGGGCCAGGTCCCTGCAGTGCTGCCCCCTCTACCCCCGCCCCAGCTAGTTAACCTTGGGTCCAGGGAGCTCTGAGAGCCACGGTTTCGGGGGGTCTGCTCAGCACCAGGGCCCCCACTCTCAGCCCTAGTTGTGGTCTGTCTGGGACTACCAGCCAACAGGAGAGCCGGCTCAGAGTCCCAGCACCCCAGGTGACCTCTATCCACTAGAGGGCGCTCTTCTGAGTACTGCCTTCAGCGGTGACAGCCACTTAGTCCGCTCTGGGGGTCTTGAGGAGATGGCAGGGCTGTTGTGAGGACGCACAGGACTATGGAGTTCCCATGGCTCGTGTCACAAAACCAAGCAAACGTTATTTTCCCCTCCCCACCCCGACTTTTTAAAAGCAAACCCCAAGCATGCTGCTGACTTCACCATTTATTCCTGATGTCTGTAGCTTCGGGTATCAAAACAAGAGCCTGTGTAGGTGGAGAGCCGGTATCTCCACACCCTCCCCACCCAATAAACCCACTCTTCATTTATAGACATGCAGACTAAGTTCCTATGCAAAAATTGGCCGTCTGTGAAAATGGAGGATGACTACATCATTCCCTGACAGCTGAGAAGTCTCACTTCACATCATACCCAGCGGCCCTCTCACCTCAGCTTTCCTTACCACTCAGAGGTATCGATGTGTGAAACAGAAGGAGATGGTTGAGAATGAAGGAGTTGGTGTAAAAAACCCATTTTTCACGTCATAAATGAGTCCTAGAAACATCGTAATGTCAGCCCTCAGACCACACGCAGTGCTGGGAAACCAGCTGGCATCGATACTGAACGGCACGGGTTCCTAATGCGGGGTAGTGCTGTCACGAGACGCGTGTTTGCACCGACAGTCGGCATGCACTTGGCCCGCTCTCTGACGTGGATCTGAGGGATGAGTGACATGTGTGTCCATGTACATGGGTCTGTGTGTGGGTACCCGGTGCTGACTGGGGTGCTCCCGGCAGGGGTACCCCAAGACACCCCCATCCCTGGGCTCTGGCTAGGACTCGCTCCATTTACAGCTGTCGAGCTTGCTGCCCAGGTGGGTCTGCTGCAGAGCTGAGCGAGCTTACGTGTGGTTCGCATGTACTGCCCTGGGCGCAAAGCCTTGTTCCCTGGCACACCAGCCTCGGTTCTGGCTGGCCCGCTGGCAGTGTGGCACTGATCCGGCCCCCACACGGGGCATGACTTGTAGCACCACATCTCTGCAGAGTGCCCGCAACCAAACCCACAGACATCAGAGTCCATCCAGAGAGCTGAGAGCCACAAGAAGCCAGTGACGTCGACAGCAGGACAGCAGCTGAGGGTCCACACGGAAGGGCTGGGGCCCAGGGGCCTCAGATCCGGGGCTGCTCCGCTGGCGGCTCTGCCAACTGGGTCGGCGCTGAGTATTTCACTGCAAAGAACCAGAGGCCCGTAGGAGGGGGAAGTGGGCGATGAGCCCCTGCTGGGGAGGAGCTCAGAATGTCCTGCCCCCAGGTCCTCTCTCAGCTGTCCCCAGGGGAGGGCTAAGGCCGCCTGGGGAGGGAAGATAGGGAGCCCTGCCTCAGTTTCCTCCTCTGTGAAGTGGGGATGCTCCCCACAGAGCTGCTGCAAGGGGGCTTCCAGTCAGGAAGACTAATCCAGGCAGCCAAACAGTCCGAAGGATGCTCACAGATTGCCAAGCACATTTCAAACGTCCCCTTATGGAGAAGGCTCCTGCCCACATCTGCATCCATTTTGTGGCCCCATTTCCAGATCACTGGCCCAACGTATGGAACCCTTTCCAAGGTCCGTCTGGACCCCATACCTTACACCCATCTCCATCCTGGGCTAAGAGGTGCTGCTGGCCCACTTGTCTGAACACCACTGAACATGACAGATGACTTCAGTCAGTGAGGGCACAGGGCCCCTGAGAGTGATGATGACCACAGGGGTGCAGGAACGGAGGGGGCACAGAATGGAGGGAGGTGGAGGGAGGGCTGGAGGGAGGGCAGGCCAGCGTGATGAAGTGACTTGCCCTGGGAGGGTTGGCCTGGGTCAGAAGACCCCCCTAAGGCTAGGGACAGGAGATGAGGCTGCCGGCCTGCAGCGTAGCCGCTGTGAACCTGGCCATGGCTGAGGGCCCCGATGTGCCTGGGCCCTGGGAATCCTGGACACACTCCCTCTGCCCTCTGTGTTCCTGGCCCATCAAGAGGGCTCTCCGGGGGTACTCACCTTGCGGCGGCTCCTCACACACCACGGCTTCCAGGTTCTCTCCCTTGACGTAGTCTGCACTGAGGCCCTCTGCAAGGCAGGTGACAGGCACGTGAGGACAGGCGCAGGGCAGATGTGGCCCATCCTTGCGGCCAGTTTGTCATCAGCCCCAGCAGCACCCATGACGTGCATCCAAGGACTTGACCCCCATTCCCCAAGGCCAGCTGTCCTGTCAGGGATGAGATGGCCCATCCTGCAGGGTGGGTGCCCAAGGGAGGGTGGGCAGAATGCCCTCAGGCCTCTGTAGGGACACAGAGCTGCAAGCCAAGGCCCATGGGGTGCAAGTGATGATGGGTGCCAGGGTGGGGCCTGGGCGGATCTTTCCAGCCATGTGCAACAATGAGGAAGACCAGTGTCCTCAAGGAGCAGGGACAGCCGCTGTCCCCTCCCTCACTAAGCCTGGAGGTGCCACACGGGAGACACGTGACCTGTGGGTGTCTTAGTCCCAGACAGGCCCAGGCGCTCCCCAGGTAAAGCTGGAAGCTTGGAGTGAGTGCGGGCAGAGGGGTGACCAAGGCCAGGGAGGTGGGGGTCGGGGAAGTAACAGCAACATCAAGGCCAAAGCAGGAATGGGAAGGTGAGCACATCTTTACCTTGACCGTCTGCTGCATCTGAAGGCAAGACACAAAGCTGAGAAGTAACCCCACCAGGAGAGGGGCACTCCCGGCCGCAGTACCCACTCCCGTCTCCTGGGGGCTCTGCCACGTCACACCTGGCCTTACCCTCTCTCTCAGCAAGCGCAGGAAGAGGCCACGTGCTTTCCCTGGGGGTGCGAGTCTTACTAACACGCACAGGCCCCTCCCAAGTGCAGCCTGGCGCTCGCTGCCAGGACACCTCCGTGGACAACCAGGGTCCCTGACAGAGCCCCAGTTCTCTGCGGGACCAGCAGAGGGCGCTGTGGCCCCAGAAGGCCGGGACCACATTGGCTACATGAGCAGTTCAGGGAAAGGTGGAGTGTGGTGGGGGGGCGGGCAAGGGTGTGGCAGTGATGAGCTCTGAACCCCAGGCTCGGGAGGCTCCCGTCACCACGAGGGTGGTGGGCACTGAGAGAAGGCCGGGCTCGGCCCTGGGGGGACAACGGCACCCTCCAGATTGGGGACATGGAGATGTGGCCCAGGACAGGCGATGGGTATGGGGACCAGGAGGACAGTGTGGGAGGAGGAAGGCAAAGGGCAAACACTGAGGGCCTGCGCCCTCGGCCGGAGGCCCACGACTGAGGGGGAAGCCCTGGAGGTCTCACACGGCTGAGGTCAGGGCGGCTAAGTGTCTCAAGGTCAAGGCTGGTCTTGGCCAGCAGGTCACAGGAAGCTCTCTTTCCACTGGCTTCTCAGGGGCCAGGGAGGGACAGGAAAAGGAAGCTGGTATCTGAACACAGCAAAGACCTTAGGGATGCAGCCAGGCACACAAGCTGCTGGCCAGCTGTGCTTGTGGCCTGTTGAGAGTGACTCCCAGCTCAGCTCCGCGGGCAGCCGAAGAGATGAGCAACCTCGCTTACAGAATCTGTGTGCAGAGGGGAGCAAAGGCCCCCCTGCTCTGGCCCTTGTGGTCCTCCCCATTTAAATAAGCAATTCTGTGGCCCCTGGGGGTGCTCGCCAGGTGCCCCTAGGAAGGTGACGGGCACACTCGGTTCGCGCTTCAGTCCAGTCCAGGCTGAACCCCCAGGGATTTGCCTCTCAGTCGCCTTTCTCCCTCGGCCTGTGCCGACCACTTACGCTGGATGCTGAAGCACAGCTTCTTCTGCTGGTAGGAAATGTAGCTGGAGACGGCGCCAATCAGGGCCATGGCCAGGGCGCTGGCCACCCCCGCCACCGTGCCAGTCTCTGCGGACATGCCTGCAGGTGGAAACACCTGTGAGAGGGCTGTCCCAACATGTCTAAGGACGAGGTCACCCAGCACCCCTTGATTGGCCTAACAATCACTTCAAAGGCCGACAGGAAATGGAGGCGCCTCAGGGAAGCCAGGGAAGAGGGCTGGCCTGGCTCCCCCCACAATTCTGGGTCTTGGGCCAGCAGGCTCCCACAATGGGCCATGTCCCACCTTTCCCTCTCCATAGCTGTGCCCTCCCAGCCTCTGTCAGGGAAAGTTGGGGAGATGAGGGCCCCCCACTACCCACCAGATCCTGGATCATCGTCGCTGCTGTAGCCGCCACCACCTAGGAGAGGACAAAGCACTGAACATCCATCCAGCCACACCAGCTCTCAGCGCTGGGACCCATGGGACCCGAGCGCCCTGATTCAAGGCCACAGACAGCTGGGGTCTGGGCTGCGCCTGCCCCCTGTGCCTCTGCCACCAGCCCCAACCAGTATGTTTGTTGCCCTGGCTTCTGCCAACTACAGGGAAGCCTGCCTTCTTACCTGGCCACCTGCCACATCCAGGCTTCCAGGTGAGCCTGCCATTAAGGTGAGCACTGGCTGTACCCCGAATGGCGCTTAAGCTTAAGCTCGTCCCTAATGATGTCTCCATTCAACAGGGGAGTCCCGTTCAGACAGGTGAGCCTGGGCTGAGACACCTGTCTGAATGACTGCAGCTCAGCTCTGCTCTCCTGCCTCCTGGAGCGTGCTCCCAGCTCACAAGAATGGACTTCTCTGCACTACCTAAAAAATGTGTAGATAAACTACCTTTCATCAGTCTGTTGACACACCTTGCTTGCATATAGTGAAGACACCATGAAGCACTTAGTGCAGAAGGTCAAGGACTGCGGTCTTTAATATGGACTGAAGCTCAACATGAAGAAAACAAAGATTCTCCCCATGGAAGTATCATGATGAATAGAGACAACACTGAGATTGTTAACAATTTCATCCTGCTCGGATCCACAATCAACACTCTTGACACCAGCAGTCAGGAAACCAAAAGATGAGTTGCTTTACAAAAGTTAGCTGTCAGGGACCTTTCCAGAGTACTAAAGAGCAATGATGTCAGTCTAGAGACTAAGGTGCACCTGGTCCAGGCCATGGTCCATGCAATTACTGACTATGCATCAGAGAGCTGGTCTATGACTAAGGATGACAGAAGATGAATCAATGCCTTTGAGTTGTGGTGCTGGAGAAGGGTATTGGACATACCATGGACTGTCAAGGAAACAGGTCCATCCTGGAGAGTGTAAAACCAGGTTCCTCCTTGGAGGCAAGGATTTTGAAGGTCAGTCTCTCATACTTGGGCATGTAGCCAAGAGGGGCCACTCCTTGAAATAGGACATCATGCTTGGAATGGTGGAGGGTCAGCACAGGGCAAGAAGACCCTGGAGGAGATGGATTGCCACAGTGACTGGGTAGTAGGGCAGGTGTGTCAGAGGCAGTGAGACTGGCTCAGGACAGGGAAGGCTTCAGAGCCATGTAAGTTTGGGTTGGCAGAACAACTCCTTAGCACTAGGCCACAAGAGCTATTATATATAATATATAGATTATGGTGCTCCTGTGGCCTAGTAGTAAGAAGCTGTGCTGCAATCCCAGAGGCCTGCAGTTCAAATCCACCAGCTGCTTCATGAGAGAACGATGAGCAATCTCCTCCTGAGCGATTTAGCGCCTCTGAAAGCCCAGTGGAGGGTCAGCTATGGGTTAGTTCTGACTCCATGATTCCAGACCGTCTGACCACCCGAGACAAGGGAGCACCTTGCTAAGTGATCCCATCCATGTGTGCATCACTGCTCAGAGGGGCCCCAAGACGCTGTGAGCTGAGGGACAGGTGGGAAGTCAAGAAGCCAAGCCAGCTGGGCTGCTCAGAGTTCAGGCATGTCAGAAGCCACAGGGTCCTCCCCAAACCACTGCTAAGTCCACGGCGGTGGGGGGTGGAGACAGGAGAGTGCACCAAGGGAACACCCCACAGGAGGCCAGGTCTGAAGGACAGGAGAGGAAGGGCGAGCAGGATGATGACCACAGCAGACATGGAGGACGGGGTGGTACAGAAACAGTCCCAGAGGCGCAGAGCTGATGTGACAGCCACCGGGCTGGTGAGGGCAGGGGCAGGAGACCCAGCAGCTCCCCACTTAGGAAGGCCCTGTCCGAAGGCCCACATTGTCAGCCACAGACACGCCAATGGAAAAATCTTCTTGAGAAAAGAATATATACCAGACCCCACGCTCCAAATCCCTGCGCTCCGGATGCGGGCCTGGGGCTCGCTTCACGGCGAGGACTATCATCACGAAAGCGCGAGGGCCCTTTGCTCCCGGACATGCAAGCTCGCTGGTGGTCACCACGGCCGTGTTGTAGGCCACACTGGCATTTCTGGTACTGCCTCCTGTGCTGGCAGAGGTAGCACTGCAGCGCCAAGGGGCCGTTCTCACAGGAGGGGCACGCACGAGCGTCCTCAGGGAACTTCCCAGGGCTCATTCTGCACTAACATACGAGCCTTTAATGAGGAGAGCGCACCCGGCCCTCATTGGCCGCTGGAAATACCATTTGTCAGCCAGGAGTAATTGGCTCATTTGCTGGGTTTGCCCTTTAAATAGTCCGTGTTCTCCTGACACCTGTAAGTTTCCTGTAGCAGTGACGTTGCCTGCAGAGATGTCTCCAAAGAGGAATTTGACTTTGGCAGCTCAGAAGCAGAAGAGAACACTGCTCCCTTGAGAGGTCTGGATTCCGGTGTGGAAAGTGGGGATGTTGACGGGATGACCAGGGGGTCCCCAGGTACACCCAGCAATGGGCTTCTGCCATTGCTGCCAAACCACCACCACCCACAACTATCGACGTCACACGAAAACCTCGAGGCTACACCCTCCCCTTGGGATCAGCTCCCGTGGGGATTCTGAGGAAGGGCTCACACTCCAGTCTCTGGCAGCTGTTTGGGGAATCAACATAATTTGCCCCAGGGGCCAATGTGGAGCTTGAGGCGGGTTCCCTGTGGAGGGGGACCAGATCTAGATTCTGATTGTAGTGCCCGTTACCCGAATCCACACATGGAGAAAATCACACACACACACACACACACACACACACACACACACACACACACACACACACACACACAGAAAACTGGAGAGCGAGCACGTACAACCTGAAGAATTACCTCAATGTCAAGCTCCTGCTTTGGACAGTTTTTCTGAAAGCGTCCAGGGCGAAGGTGGCGCCAGCACTCTCCCGGACTTTCTGTACGATCCTTGTGAGCCCAGGGGCCCCACATTCCTAACTGTCTTCAAGAATCTGCAGCTAAGTCGGCATGGCGCACGCTTCACTGCGAGCCAGGAGGTCGGCAGTGGGAACCTGCCAGCCACTCCATGGGCGCAGACTGGTTCTGTCAAGTTTTACAGGCTTGGGAACCCTGTGGGGAGCCCCGCTCTGTCCTAGAGGGGTGCTCTGACTTGGAGTTGACTTGACAACAAGGGAAGGCGATTATGATAAAAGAATTGGTTGCTAAAAGGTTGGTTCAAGCATTGCAAAGTGGGGGCAAATTTGTTGTTGTTGTTATGTGTTGTCGAGTCACCTGTGACTCATAGCGACCCTATGTACATCAGCCTTAAACCCTGCTCTGCCCTGTGCCAATCGCATTGCCTCTGACACACCCACCCCCATTACCCCAGTCACATCACATTAAAAGGCAGGGCCAGACCTTGGACATCATGCTTGGGTATGTGGAGGGTCAGTGACACAGAGGAAGACCCGCAACGAGATGGACTGACACTGTGACTGCAGAAATGGACTGTGAGGCTGGCACAGGACAGGACAGGGTTCAGAGCTGTTGTTCGCTTCTATGGCACCAACAACAGCAAAGGGTGAGTGAGTGTCTGGAACCTGGACGTCTGGAACCTGGAGATTGACTCTAGTGCAAAAAAAAAAGAGATTCTTTTCAATGGACTTGGGTTGTGTGTTGAATTGTGTCCCCTGGAAAGTCACGCTGATGTTCTAGCGCATGCACCTGTGAATGAACCTTGTTTGAGAACAGGATGACGCTGGTAGGGCCTAATGCCATCTGAGTGGTGTCTTACAGGACAGAAGAGACACAAGGTGTAAAGGTACAGATGGGGCAAAGGTGCGCCAGGGACCCCCAGGATCAGAGGGGAGAGACATGGCCGAGACCCTGCATTCTGCTGCTTTGAAGTCATTACCAAACTATTTTTGTTGGCAAGCTTTTGTAGGGTTTTTTTTTCCCCAGTGAAAGAATGTATATTAATCATTGAATGTTTGTAATGGTTTAGTCATAAAAGATGGATTTGTCTAAATATTACGCGAGACAGTTACGTCCAGCTGCATGGGAGCCTCAAAAGACAAAAGTTTTACAGAATTACTCCTCCAAGACATGCCGCCACCTCAATACAGCGGCATGTCACCAAGGAACTGCTTCCTGCTTTCCACAGTCTTGCAAGGCCTTGCCCCAAAGCCAGCACCATGATACATGGGGAGAAAGCTTCCCAAGACACCCCAGAAGCGGAAAGTGTAAGTGGTTCTCTGAACCATGGGGTATGAATGAGCTAAAGTCACCACTTGGTGGTATCTTGTTATGGAAACTCCGACAGTTTCCTCTCCCCAGTGACTTGCCTGGTGCTGGGCTGCTTACCACAACTGGCCCTGGCTCGGCCCTGCAGTGCAGAGCTGTTCCAAGCTGCCTCACAAACCCTCCCTGGAGCTGCCCTTCCTCCCTCCATGCCTCCCTCCGCAGGGGCTGAGCAGCTACTATCTGGAAGTCACGCACCTACCTTTGTTCCTGTCCGGCTTGTAGTCACCGCCGCCCAAGACGTCCTCAAGGTCCTTGTCTGAAAAGCCTGGAGAAAAGAAAATACACCTTTCAGCCAACACCACCAAGCAAGACGCTTTAGTTAGCGCTGTTCATCACCCACAGCAAATCACCGCCAGTTTACTTCGGAATGCATCTGCAGAGGGCCCTCTAGACCCCTGGTCTCTGGTCTTCATGCCCTGCTTAGCTCACGAGCTCAACACCCTATATAATGCTCGGTGAGTGGGGTCCCGCCGGTGAGTGGGGGCGCACCCATGACGAGGATCGATTTGGCTCTGTGATTGCACTGACAAGACATCACATCTGTTCATTTCACCTTGATCCTCTGCTGAAAATGTCCATTTCCACCCCACATGTGCTGAGTCAGAGTCTGCATTCTAACGAGATCACCCTGATTCTTATGCATCCACACAGTCCCCTGTGGGGCCTTTAGAACCACTGGGGAATCTTGTCAGAATGTCGATTCTGACTCAGTACATCTCAGTATAAAGAAATTCCCAGCAAGGGGTCAAACCAGAATGAACTAGTGTGAAGCCTTCCTTGGCCATCACATGCCAAATGTAAAGAGATTTTGAAGATGTTATTTTTTTCTTGTTTTCATTTGAGGGAAAGTATACAAATCATATAGGTTTTTTACTCAATCATTCCCATGTTATTTTAGAACATTGTAATTACAGTTTTATTCATGGCAGATATTATTTTAAGTGGCAAGTTAATGTGACTTTGAGGTCATCAAAAGAGAGAGTATTCTGGGGTAGCCTGACCTCATGAGGTGAGTTGTTTATAAAGAGGGTTTATGGGACTCCCTCTCAGAGGCTCCCTCTGAAAGGCCAGATTTGCTTCCAGCACTTCATTGGTAACAACCCATCACCCCGACTGAACGTAGAAGGTGGTGGGAGAACCCAGGTCTTCCCCTGAGGCAGACATGACAGCAATTAGCAAAAACACACCATAGTGCCACTCTTCTCGGAAAGTTTTGTTTCACCTTGTCAAAGACATACCTATTTCTGCTAGACCTATGTTAATAAATACAGATTATTGTTACAAAGAAATCTATGAATAAATATTTGAAGAATTTCTGTATACATTCTAATTGTAAATATTATATTAATATATCAATGGATATAACTCACAATAACAGAAAATAAAGCTCTTTCATGGGGAAAAAAAGGATAAAAAGTCTTTTTATTAAAAGCACAAGATGTCAGTGCAACAATGAATGAATGGAAATCCAGTCTCTGTAAATTTTCATTGAAATTAATAATAAATTAAAAAACAAAACAAAACAACAACAAAATCACAAGATGTCTTTGAGACTCTCCATTCTTTTCAAGACTCTGAAGGAGTCCTGAGACCAAGTGTTTGAGAATACTGTCCTGGGGTTCCAGCACTGTGGGGTGAGGGGACCTCGTGGGGAGTTTGCAGTACTGACCAGCACTTTCCCAGCCAGACTCACCTCCTCCTCCTTCTCCACCCGGTTTCAGGAGGCCATCATCAAGATCATTGCGGTCATCCAAGGCGTCAGCCAAGTCAAAGTCGCCCCCTTTAGTGGGCGAGCCCCAAAACAAAAAGGCAGCCGTCAGCTGGTTCCACTGCCCACAGCCCACTTGGACATTGTTCCCCAGGGGCTGCAGGTCCTCGTTCTCTCCTGAGAGCAGCCACATTACCTGGAAGACTGGCTGGAGCTTGGGTCACTGCAGGCTTCTTGGTGGTGGTGGTGGTGAGCCGATTCCGTCCGTCTGGAAGAGACAAAGTGAGTGAGGGAAGCACATTTAGTAACAGAACTCGCATCTGTTGTGGCGCAGGAAGGGCCACATCACTGCCGTGCTGTCGTCTTGCCCCTGTAAATGGGGGGCAGAGTGAGCCAGAGAGCGGCCAGGGGTGCTGAGGGAGAGGGAGTCCTGACTGTGACCTGCCAGCACACGTCTGCCGGAGAGGATCCTGTGACTAGGAAGTTCCAGACACTGGGCACGTCCCTGGAAAACTCCAAGCCTGGTTCCCTCCATTCCCAACCAGGTACCGTGGCTAACGCTGCCAGAGATGGACCAACGCTCTTCGTAGAGTATGGGAGTATGTTACAAATGAAAAGCATTTACAATGAACCCTCCCCGCATCTTCCCCCATTCCTGCGTGTCCTAGCCCCGTCCTGCGTGTTTTTCCTCCTTCCTGTGTGTCCTCCCCCTCCCTGACGGTCCTCCCCCCTCCCTG